TAAAGCGCCGCATTGTATCTAGAATATTTCTTTTCCAACGAGGGACTGTACACGAACTTCTTTCTCGTTCCCATGAAAATAATTTCTCCGTTTTCCGCGCCTGCGATCTATTAACATTTCACGAACGTCGGGTAGGGCTTCGCCTGATATTATTGAAGTTCTCTGGCGCTCGAAGTTCTTTCCGCTGAATTTTCGTTGCATCGAATGAATGTTGTTCCGTCGTCCTGTTCCTGGCTTGTTTCGTTCGTAGTGTTGCCGCATGTATCGCGAACGTGAAAATGTACAAATAATTCTGTGCACCTCTGTCCATTTATTGACACCGATAGCCGTAGCACGATAGCACGATAAGGGTGATTCCAAAAGGTAGACTCCGTAGAGGACTTTTACAAATAGAATTCTGTTTAAACATTTGCCTACCTATTTTGTACAGATGTTATGCTTACATAACTGAATGTATTTATTTAAGAGGCAGTAGCAGTTAATAAACTGTCACTTGATATATACAACAATAAAATTATCTCTTTCAAAATAATTTCTAAAAACTATTTCTCCTTAGTATTTTCTAAATTTTTATTAAGAAAAATGTAACTACAAATTTGATTGTTTTCGTATGAATAAAGTAGAGTTACCTTTCAGTCGAAATTTTAAATCACCCTCTGTAGTGTTTGCACATAGATTAAAAGTTTTCTGATGTGTATCTGTAAATAATTGATTGTAAGAGAAACTGTAATTATTGACGACTTAGAAGCTTGTTATACTTGTTAACCTTCTTTTATAATAGTGCTCCTAACAACAATACTGTAGATAATTAATTAAATAGCGTTACAGTAGTTTTGGTGAGTCACTTATCAACTGTGTGTATTAGTATATTAACATAATTGTTTTCTATGTTCGGTGGTACACTTCCGTCTTCGAAATGATTTAATAATTCGTGTCAACGTCTCTTCTCAAAAATCTAGCATTTCATACATCAATTTTTTAACAGCACCTCCAGTGCTGCATTTGTTCTTCTACCTTGCCTAGATCTTAGTGTTTTCAATTTTCAATGTTATATCCTCCTCGAGTCGATTAATAAGAATTTTGGCAAGAATATCAAAATCAAAAGCACCCTAATTTCAGTGTTCATGCACTTTAATTGAAATTCACTTTCATTCAAGGACATTTCAAGGCCACTCTTGCCTAGAGCTCACAAGATAAACTATTAGCAATATAAAATAAAATCATGATAATCTTGCAGTTATATCCGAAACGACTTTAAGAAGATATTCGACCAAACAATTTATTAAACGCCAAAAATGTCAATAATCTATTAGCTCATAGTAATTCTAATGAATTGAAAATTTTCTAATTTTTCGAATAATTCACACCAACCCGAGACACCGTGTACATGCAATGTGTGAAATCGAGAGAATCCACTGACTCGTATAGCCTCTAGAAAAAAAGAAGTCTCGCGAAGAATTCACAGCAATTTCGGCACGCGACAAATCGAGTTTCCGGTGAAAAAGGGGACCTGGAACAGTTCAGGTGGCAAAGAAACACACACAGAGAAAGAGAGAGAGAGAGAATCATCGGTGGCCGTTTATCCAGAAGATCGAAATTGAATTCTTAGACCGGTCGGTGGAAAAAAAAAGAAACGGAAAAGAAAAGATTACTTGGTATACCAGAAGTGTCACGTGTGTCGCTTTATCCCTCTACTCCATAGCAGGTTCTGAAAACGTATTTAGGTACTTGGGGCTCTCCGTGGGCGAGTTGTGGTGCGGATTTTCTCAGACCAGCCAACCACCACCATCACCAACCACCACCATCACCAACCACATCCACATCCACAACCACACACGTACAACCAATATCAAAACTAAAAAAAAATATTAAAAGACCTATCCCTGATCGCTTCACCAGCACGGTGAGTCTTACTTCTCTATCGTTCTGTAATGTTCCTACGTGTATCCTCTCGCTGAACGTTGCTTTTGTTTAGTCTAGTCGTTTGGACCTGTAGGTAACAATGTGTGGGTGATCGTTTATTGTAGCGGTGTCCACTAACTCGTAGTTGATAGAGCTTATCGTGTAGAATAATTCTTAACGGGCTTGGATAGATTTGGAACACGTTTAATTTATTTAGGAATGCACAGTTGCAGTGAGCCATTCAGTCAGTAACAAAGGAAATTGTACATTTTACGTTGAGTGTATTGTATATGAAATATTTGTACAGTTACGAGTATAGTAAATTGTTTATGTCAGAGCATATTGAGTGTACAGTGAAATTTGTAACATGTTATATATCTTTCGTGCAACATATCGTGTAGCATTGTATGTATTGAAATGTTGGAATGTTATATGGTATTATACGATACAATGTAACTTCATAGTACGTGACTAAGACAATGTAGGTGAAGTCATATCTGCAAGATGAATATTTAGAGTAAATTTTGATTTGTCTGCAATCTCTAGATTATGTTTCCTTCATTTACTTTAATACAAGAAATTATCACTATTCGTGTTTAACAATTTATAATACACTCTATATAATTTATTTATTAAATATAAAATCAGTTTATATTTGAAAAGTATAATAAAATTCAGTAGTATTTATATTACACAAATTTTGACATTAAAATTTTGTTTACTTCGACTTAACCTGTACCCTCTGTTCTGCCACGGGCATTATTATTTATTATCTTGTAGGTAGTGTCTGCTTCTTTTCTACGGTTTCTCCTTCTTTTCTCTTAATTTCTTTCTTTCGTTGCTTGCGACTTCTTGTAAAGTTTTGGTGACGGCTTTGATTGTTCTCTTCGCTTCTGGGCTTCGATACTTGCTTCATCTCTCGAGTTGAATTAACCGCATACTTGACATTATTGTTTGTATTGATCAAGGCACGTTGTTTGCAGTTCCTTAATGTTTTATACATGCAAATATGAACTCCTTTCGAAGTATATCTAGATACAAATATGAAATAAGGTTTTCATTTTTGAAAGTTTCAAAAAAATAACGTTGTTTTGTCCTAGAAATTACAATATGACGAAGTTCCTTAAAATTCAAATGTCCTCGCGCTAATTTGAAGCTCGATCAATATGTACAATCAGTTACAAAAATTTACATACAACTGCCAAATTTCAAATGTTCGTAACAACCACGAAACTTTTCATATCTCTTGATAATTCGTTTATCGAATAGTTAAAATTAATTAGAGAAAATGTCGATGCTTTCTTACATATTATTTAAATGTGTGAAAATAAACATGCGTAAAGAAACCGTCGCTTTTCAAAATTTATCCAATCTCAGTTAATAATTCATTTAATTTCTATAGAGTGTCGTAATCATTGTTACTTCAAATGTTTGAGATTCGACAGGTCGATGTAGGATTTTGCCACTGACTGTATCCACGTACATTTACATTTCCCAAGATTCATTCAGTCTCACCAAGTCTCACAATGAACGTATGTACAGTTCAGCATGCTTGGTAGTCGCGCTCGGTGTGTCTTAGTTATTG